TTCCTGACAGGAATTGCTCAGCATGATGAGTTGCTTCTCTTTAGGTGAGTCCAAATCTGAAATGACACTTCCTGGCTTTATCAGGTGAGAAGGTTGTCCCTGTCTCCCTCCCCTGTCTCTGGATCCAGAAAAGAGGAATGTGGGGTGTGTTACGTGCTGTGTGTTATGTTGCCACCTTCACTGAGGTTGGCAGAGAAGTTCTTTTGTGCCTGCCTTGCTTTAATGCTTTACACATGGGGTTGGTGTTTAAGGAGGCTGCAATGGGACGTTTGCAGTTCAGTTGAGCAGGTTTATCTTGGAGGCTCTTTCTGTTGCTCCCCTCGAGTGGAGCTTCACACCTGGCCAGACCTGCCCAGGCACTCCCTGCTCTGCAGCTCCATCACCCCAGGGACAGGCTCAGGGGGTGTCCTGCCCATTCTGGGGTTACAGCAGTCACCCTGCATGCACCCAGTGTGCCAGGACCTTGGGGCTGTGTGGAGGAGAGTCCAGTCCAGGCCCAGGCTGTTGCAGCCTGCAGAGGTGGAGGTGGCAGTGCTGGCAGTGCTGGCAGTGCTGGCAGTGCTCCCAGCCCAGCAGCAGCCGCTGGGTGCTCAGCTAAACACCAAGCAGCAAAGTGGGCAAGGTACCTAACAGCACCTCCAGGCTGCTTTGGGGCTTTTGCCAAAAAAAATGACAATGCAATTTCAGTCTTCATGTGGACACCACCACCAGTTCCCAAGAGACACCGCAGGGAGCAGAAGAGTTCCCTCAGAATAAACAGGCCACGTGGGAAAGGATCTTGTCTTTGTGCAGAAGCTTTGGAGCACCTCCTGAATGGCTGCAGAAACCCTGGCAGAGAAGCAGCCCGAGGCTGCCCTCGTGGGGATTGGCATCTTCCAGGAAGTTTTAAGAAACCTACCCCACTCCCAGTACCCCAGCCACTGCTGCTCTTCTGAGTGGGCTGCACTGGAGCCCGTGCTGGTATCGCAGTGCTCTCCTGTGTGCTCAGAGGCTGCTCTGCAGTCTGGTTGAAGTTCCCTGATGATATTTTCCTCAAGGTCTGGTACCCAAACCCTGCCTATGTTGCATTATTCTCAGCAGAGCAGCCCTCCCAGCCCCGTTCACCACACACGGGCAGCGACAGCGAGTCCATCAGAGGCAGCTGAAGAGTTTGTGGCTCTGAAATACAAAAGAAGTTCTCTCAGTTAATATTTGCTCTAGACTCCTTCCCCTCACCTCCCATTTGCCCTGTTGGTGCCTCGGGCTTTTAAGAAGGAAAAGAATTGTGATGCAGATGTGTTTATGGGAAGAGCAGGTACGGGAGAAGGAAAACACAAAACATAAAGCACTTTGCTTCGCAGCTTGCGCAGAGCCCTGAGCTTCCAGCCCTGCCAGCTCTTCGGGCCCCGCGCTTCCCCGAGCAAGACACACTGGTTATTAACCAGCTCCTGCTGAGGCCCTGTTTTCCAGTCCATCAGCAAGCTGTGCCTAGAGGAGGGATCTCCTTAAAAAGGAAAGGTAAGGCAGAAAATCCATTACTGTCTCTAAGGTCTCTCCCAGGCAGCCAGTCTGTGGGATGATATCAAAAAGCTAAGAGAGAAGTCAGGTTTTTTTGTTTGTTTGTTTCCATGGAGACTGAAATTATTACAGTGATTCCCTGCTTGGTGTTCAGTCCCTGAACCTGGTGCCTTTCCCATTCCCATGCATTGCAGGTGTGCCCTCCCCAGGATCAGCCCTGGATTCTCTCATGCAGAAGGAGCAGGAGATGGAGGGTCTGGGGACACCAGGTTGGCCTCTAAGGAGGAGTGAGATGGTCTGTGAGGAGGCAGGATCTTCTGAAGGCAGAAGAGAAGCAAGTTGGGCTTAGACTGACCAGCCAAATGCAGGAATTTCTCCTGGCTGAAGGTGCAGAAACAAGACTCCACATTCAGCTCAGCCATGAGCATCTCCCACAAGGACCATGGAGGCAGTGCTCTCATGTCACAGCCTTGTGTCCCACTCAACTTTCCAAGACCAGACGCAACGAGCTGTTTCTGTGCTGTTTCACTGCTCTAAATGAACACAGAATCTTGCTAGTGTTTGTGATTACTTGAATAAATATCTTGTACTCATTCATTAATGGCATGAGTCTCACTGGCTTCATTAGGTCCTCTGTTTCTACTGTGATTTATTCTGCTGTATTTAATAAAGGGATTTTTCTCATTGCTTTGGCAGTGCTTGATCAATAATAATTATTATTGACAAAGATCAGCGTAGGCTTATAAATCTGAGTCCATGCTATGCACATAATGACCCGTCCTCTTTAAGAACAACCATAATAAATACTCATTTCAGTCTCTTAGCTGCAGGCTTCAGAGGCCTGGCTGTTCTGTCCTGAGGGTCAGGCTGCAGCAGCAGGGCCAACCTCTGTCTGTCTGTCCTGTTCCAAGTGACTGCTCCATCCTCAGGGACATTCTGGTCCTGACCCTCAGATGCACAGGACAGATTGTGCTCAGCTGTCCTCCACCTTTCTCAGGTGTCATCATCTTGGTTCTGATCTCACATTTTGCTGTGACATGTGATAAAACAGATGCTGCTTTTCCCCAGTGCCCAGCAGAGCACTGCTGAGGAAGCAGGGAAGGAGGTGGGTGCTGGTGCCAGCTCCATCCAGCAGCCCCAGACCAAAAACCCCCTTTCACACTGAGGAAAAACCTACCCTCCTTAAAAAGACAAAGAAAATCTTCATGTCACAGACACCGGGGTCTTGTTAATGATCCTTCTGGATGAGGAGTCCCTTCCTGGGCTGGATGTGTCCCTGTGGGAGGCAAAGCTGAGCTCCCCACTGTGCCCAGGAGAGCTCTTGCATTGGTGCCTGGCTGTGGGACATGGAGCTGTGGGACATGGAGCTGTGGGACAGTGGCCTTTGTCCCTCAGCCTGCAACCATCTCCTACACTTGTAAAAAAAAATATCAAGATTGTTATTTTCTTCCCTGCAGTGGAGGCTTTGGGGTTTTTTTTATCTGATACTTTTTAATCTGTCGTTTTGTTTTATCTAGCAGAGGTTAATTTTATATTCTTCCCTCGCTCTGCTTTTCTTTCTTTTGTCAGCAAGTTCTTTGTTGTTGTTGTTGTTTCCTGAGCTGAGCCACCAGCTCTGCCATGGTAGCAACTGTACCTCCCTGGTGCTGCCTCTATGATCTTACAGGTCCTGTAGGAATGTTAATTTACCTTCTTGGATTTAAAATTTTATAGGCAATACCTAACTCCTGGGAGGGGTTCCTCTGTGTGTGGATGCATTTCTTTCCAATAACTGTTCCTAGGCAGGTCACGCCAGGCTGACGCTGGCAGAATTATTTGACAGCATCCCTTGATATTTCAGCATCCAGTAAAGAGCCAAAATCCTGAGGATATTTTGCAGTTTGTTTTCTCTTTAATATGTTCTCTTTGTTGCTGAGAGCAGGAAAGAGATTGTCTAGCTCTTAGCCTTGATAACGTCATGGTAATGTCCATCTTTTCTGATCTGAAACCATTACGAGTTGAAGGAAGACAGGGAAAATAACAGAGGGAGGGTGAGCACTGAACCGGGTAATTGTATAAATGCCAAACTAAAACCAGGCTTATCCTCTGTGCAATGTCCTTTTGCCAGGAATTAGTGAGATGTATGTTCCAAGTAATGGGTTTTACCAAGGGTGATGGTGGGGAAAAAGATGAGTGAAGCATACATACATAAAATATCCAAACCATTGGGCAGGTACCACTTAAAAGGCAGCCTTGCTTTTTCAAATTAATGGACCTTGTCAGCTGAAATACAGTATATATTGAAAACCCTTCAGAGCTAAAGATTTTTTTCATATGCACTCTTCCCCTCAGCTTCATTTTAAGACTGGTTTTAATTATTTCCATGGGAATGGCAGTCTAGTTTGATGCCTGGTTTTGGTGACATGCTAGCCCAGCAGAAGTCAGTGATTTATTTGCAATGGGAAGGGGAACTGCCCCTACACCTGGGCTGCAGATTTCAGCCTGCACACACTTGCTCTGGGTTGTCCCAAGCCCCTGGCAGTTGGGAGAAGCTTGGGAAGGTTCTCAGGCTCTTCCTTGCCCACGGCAGCAAAGTCACTACCAAAATCCAAAGAGCTGCCTTCATTTTTCAGTGCTCATTTGGCACAGGTATAAAGAGCTGCCCAAGGAGATAGACAAAGGCAAAGGGAGTTGCAGCTCCTTCTCAAAGGAGTTGGCAATTTATTGCTGTATCATACAAATATTTAATAAAGTGTGGGGACAGTCTGAATGTGAGGAGCTTATCTAATCAGAGGTACTACCCAGGCAGTTACATCTGCTGAGGAGTGTGGGTGAAACTTGCATTTAGCAAACAGAAAGGCAGAGGAAAAGTGCAGATTTTTAAGCAGATCCTGTGCAGCCTGCTCTGCTCTGCAGTTCACCCAATTCTTTAGCCTAAAGAGCCTGGGTCAGATGGCAGCAGAGGAGCCTGAGGTCTGCGTGGGGCAGCAGCCAAGTTGGTTCCTGGCCTCAGGTTTTGTTGCTTGTGTTGAGTTGTGGCCACATAGTCTGCCTCATTTAACAGCAGCTTTATTTGGCCCCAGCTGTAGGCACACGTTTGGTTCTCATGTAGGCTTCATCTCAGGGACGTGCAGGAACTTCACCTGCAAGATCCCAAATCCCCACCTGGCTGAGTGACATTGTGCTGGTGCAGTGAAAGCAGCCTGTGCTGGGAGCAAAGCCTGCTCAGGTGCAAGGAAGGGAACTGCTGGGAAAGGGGCAGCTCTGTGCTGGGCTGGAGAACTGCACCTCAACCAAAACCAGGGCTGGGGACTGCTGTTCTGTCACTTCTTCCCCATGCAAGTAAATCACTGACATCTTGCAGTGAATGGAGCACTGAGCCCTTCTTTAATGGTGTCTGAGAAGCGAAGCAGGTGGGAACGGGCAGGAATCGCTCAGCCCGAGGGATGAGAGGGAGGGGGAACGTGGCAGAGCAGCTTGTGGGAGCACCAGGCTGTGTGATTGATGGTGATTTCTTATTGCAGTTTCCTGCTTTTTCAACTTCACCACCCCATCTGGGATTGTGCTGTCACCAAATTACCCTGAAGAATACGGAAGCAGCTTGCACTGTGTTTGGTTAATTATAGCTAAACCCGAGAGCCGAATTCACTTGGCTTTCAATGATTTTGATGTGGAGCCCCAGTTTGATTTCCTGGCTGTGAAGGATGGTGGGACTGCTGAGTCGCCGGTGCTGGGGACCTTCTCAGGAAACCAGATCCCCTCTTCTCTGACCAGCAGTGGTCACGTAGCCAGGCTGGAGTTCCAGACCGACCACTCCACAGAGAAGAGAGGCTTCAACATAACCTTCACCAGTAAGTGCCCAGTCCTTCCTTCTGGTTTTCAGTTCAAGCTCTAAATTCTTGTTGGAGACTAATGGGTAAGAGTTTGATCTCACTAAAACCATTCCTAGTAAATCCAAAGTCTGAAAATTGGGGATTACTTCAGATTTGCAGTTAGATCATTGAAGATTGGTGTCAAGTTTAGAGCTGATTGCACAGGATCTTTCTGGCTGTGAAGTTCAAGTGTTGTCTAGTTTGGCCCTGGATTATCTGTCCATGGAGCAGCTGGGGTTTCTGCTCTCCCATCAGCTTGCTGGGTGAGGTGGGTTTTCTCCCCCTCCTGCTGTGCCTCAGTCTGCTCTCTGTGGTGAAGCAACACTTTGTGGACAATGTGATGCAGATCAGGAAGAGCCATTAGAACTGGGCTGGTTGTGTTCACCACCCAGTGCTGTCGTTGTTTGCTGACACCTGAAACATGCAAGACTTTGAAGATAAAGTAAAACGTGGTAACATCTTATGAAGCATTGAAACTTTCACAGATACTTTTGGCTTCACGTAGGTCCAGTCTTCAAATCTCAAATGAATGCACTGGTAATTTTATCCTTATATTGTCCTATAATTTTCTGAAGAGCATTATTAAACCTATTCAGCAGAACTGATAAATGACTTTGGTATAATAGCCTGTAGTGGCACAGCTGAATTAATAGCCTTTCTAGCTAGGATTGCAAATCCTCTATTTAAAAACAAAAAAAACCCAGAGGTCTTAAGAAGTCATTTGCCACACTAGAGCAGGCTGAAGGCTCATCAGATGAGGTAGCTTGTGTGAGGTTGTATCCCAGCCAGGACTGATGTCTCATCCAGGAGCACTGGTGGTGCCCTGCAGGGTGCAGCTCCACTGCAGCTCGTCCCCGTGTTGGGAGCTGTGGGTGTTCCCTGTGCACAGGCATTTTTGAGCCAATTCTTTTAATTGTTGCAAATGACTCTTCAGTACATGTGAGTCATCTGCTCTGACTGCCTGAGCTCCTGGGTCTTCCTCAGACACCTTTTCCTTCAGCTGAAGTGTGAGAGAGGAGACAACATCTTGCTGCCAGGGGCAGTTGAAGAGCAGGAGGAACAGCCCCAGCCTGTTCCCCTCCAGCACTGGGGAGAACAAGATACTGCAAGAGCAACAATGCTCTGTAGGAAACCCAGAGCTCCTCTGAATTTTGTCAGGTGCATTGAAGATACTAAAAGCACGTGTGTGTGATTAATCTGGAGGCTTTAATCTTTGATATGCTGCTCATCTCTAAAGACCACCTCCCAGCATATGAAGATATAGTATGTAATTATGTCCTTAATGGGGAATTAGGGCTGTAGCCTTCCCTTCTGATTGGTTGGCTGGCCTAGTTTTTAACTGCTGGAAAAGGGCAGAGCTTTAACCAGAGCTGTGTGTCTGTGCAATCCATGGGCAACTTTGCAATACCTAGAAAGGTAATTGCTGCGTGTCCTTCATTTTATCCTGGTAATGGTGACAAGCAAGGTGAGGGACTACATGGCAGGCAGTCACAGATCATACTGAGAGGACCTTTATCCTTAACCACAGGGCTTTAAAGCTTTCATTTTTTTCTTATTAATGGTTAATTTCTGTCCCCTCTATGCTGAATCATGCATTGGGGTATTTCTAGAGGTTTAAAAAAATCTTTCTCTATTTCGAGTATTTGCATACACTGTATGTGAGTGATTGTTGACAAGATCATTTGGTTCTTCAGGCTCTTTTCTGGCCCCTGTATCTCAGCACCTCTTAGGTACAGAGACACCCCCTCCCTGGAGGTGTTCAAGGGCAGGTTGGATGAGGCTTGTGCAGCCTGGTCTAGTGGGAGGTGTACCTGCTCATAGCAGGGAGGTTGGAACCTGATGATCTTTAAGGTCCATTCCAACCTTCACCACTATGTGATTCTACAAATGGTGTTAATCTCGTCCTTCCTCTTGGAGGCTGCAAATGAACACTTGTAGTAGAGACAGGGAACAGGAAAAGTTAGGCCAGTTCAACTAGATGAGAAGTTGAACAGTGGGAACCCACATTTGGGTGTCTCAGCAGTTTAGAGCAGGGGTGCTGACATGGTTTCTGCCCCAGGCTGACAGGTCTGTGAGGAACACAGCAGCTTTGCTGGGATGATCATAATCTAAAATGTAGTCCATGCTGTTTGGTTTTCCCTGCAGGAAGTTCTGCTGTCCAGGGGCAAGTTAAGTGCTGTTGTCTCTGTAGGAAAGACATGTTGTTTGTGGTCCAGCATCCTAATTTTTGAATTGGACAGAGGTGGGGCAAACAAGTTACTCACTATTCTCCTCTCTTTCCCTGTTAGCCTTTAGGCATAACGAGTGCCCTGACCCTGGCGTGCCGGTGAACGGGAAGCGCTTTGGGGACAGCCTCCAGCTGGGCAGCTCCGTGTCCTTCCTGTGTGATGAGGGCTTCATTAGGACCCATGGCTCAGAAACCATCACCTGCATCCTGAAGGATGGAAATGTGGTCTGGAATAATGCAGTGCTCAGATGTGAAGGTAAATTTTGTCGTCTTTCCTCCTAGTCTGTACGTGCACCCTGGAGGGAGAATGATCTCCTGGGCAGAACAGAATAGTAGTTTTGTCTATCAAGGTCCCAGTCAGATGATCCATAGTGAAGGTGCACAGTGCTGACCTTGTGGGAGGCCTTTTGCCATCACCCAGGCAGAGGCATTTGTTGCTGAGAGCTGAAGGGCTGTTGGACTTGGGTTCTTAGCCAGGACTTTCCGTAGCACAGGAGGATGTTGTCTGCACACAGAGTTTGCTTAGGAGCAAGTGCTGTGGCCAACAGTCACAGGCACTGAACTCTGCTTCTAGCTTTGTGTGAAATGGATGATGGGGATTATTTTTATTAGGTCAGTTCTTGTTACAAGAGTTGTTTTTCTAGACCAATAATAAAAGGCTTTAGTTGACTGATGACAAACAGCTTCCCTGTGACTCTTGCCATGAAGGGAATTAAAGAACAGAGAATAGAAGATACTTGGCAATGATTTTCCTGTCAGTGTTTTTGGTTCCATGTTAAATGTATTATATTTATATAATGAAAGAAGCAAAAAGTTCAGCTCTGTCCTGTGAAAAGTGAGCTCAGTGCTGCCAGCACCCACCCACCCACACACACCCACACCCACACACCTTCAGCCTCTGTCAGTCCTGTCTGATGGGCTCTGGCAGTTGAGAGCCAGAAGTTTTGTGTAACTCACACCTCTCTGTCACAGCAGCTGTGACAGTCAGCCCAGAAGTGGGGCAATGGGTTAAACACAGATATCAAAGATTTTTCCTAGTCCTTTAAAGCCTTTACTATGGAAAAGAAGTGAGGAAAGAGGTCATTAGAAGTGAGAAGTCTTCCCCTGCTCCCCATTCTCAGGGTACTGATGCCCTGCACTGGTGTTCCCAGCAATCTGAGCAATGAGGGCTGTGCTCCTGGGAATCAGCACTGTACTACTGAGAAATCATTTCAGTAATTGGTCATGCATTGTTGAAGTGGATGAGCAGCAGAAATCACACAATCTAGTCCTTTGCCTTTCAGATTGCAAGAAGGTAGCAGTTGTGTTCAATGACTTTGAAGTAACAAGAAGCTGGACTTTCTATTCTTGTGTAATTTTTCTTTTGCAAGGTGCTGGCAATAAAATATCTACAGGTTCAAGTTTTCCATTACTTCCACCAACCTTTAAGTTTATGCATCTGTAAGTGTGAAGGGAAACATACATGACATGGTACCCTTTTAATCAAATTTTATTTTGGAAGCTTTGATAACCTTAGGCCATTAACTTGTGCTTTTTTCCTTGTGATCACAGTGGTGATTTCTTTGACTTCAGCATGCACTTGGTTAAGTGAACTTTTTAATTAGCCTTTTTAAACAAGAAGAAAGTATATAGATCTAAAGTACTGTTTAGTGCTTGAAAAGAATTAATGGGAAAGAAAGAGACTTAAAAATGAGTTGAAAGATGGATAGAAGTCCTGACAGAAAACTGTAGCTTTGGGGCAGAAGGGAGCCTCTTGTTCAAGACTAATTGGTTAGGATCCAGTTGAGATCAATTGGCTTTGATCTGGCATCCTTCAGAGCAGCAGTGAAGGTTTTAGGCCCAGACTCACATCAGTGTTTTCAGGCCATGTCAAGTGTGATGTTTTGTAGCCCTCGTGCAAAGCTCACACCAGTGTTGGTGCTTCAGCAGCTGCTCTGGAGGAGCAGGTCCCCTTGGTCTGCAAGGACTCCACCGGCAGACAAGGGGCTTGGTCTGCCCCATGGGAGCTCCTGAAGGTGACATTAATGTTGTCACACTGCCATGGGGGACCTGTGTGACCAGCACCAGTGACTTGACTGACTGGGAGATGGAGAAACACATGGGTGCTGAATCCTGCAAAGTGAGCAGGGGCAGCACAGGCTCCCAGGAACAGACACACTTTTCCATCCTGTTTGATTTCTAAAGGACAACACGTTGCAGTTATTTCGGGCTGTAGGATTTTGTACCTCTGGTCCATCAGATCCAGTGTCCTTTTTCCAGAAAAGATTATAATGTGCCTTTAGCTTCTGCTGATGGCACAAGGGACCAGAGTGTGGAATAAATGCCATAGTCTTGTGATGTCCCTTGTGCAAGAAAAGACATGACTCAATTCCACAACTAGGGAAGATTTTCTGGCACCTGCAGCTCCTGAAATGCAAACTTGACCTTGCAGTTTTCTCTGGTTTTATATCTAGTAATTATTATGATATCCTGTCCCCTTAGAGCTGCTGCACAAGGTCAGGCTGCTGACTCCCACAGCAGCAGGCTGCTCCATCTTCAGTCTCAGCTACAAAGGCAGTTTCTCAGCAGCCAGTGTTGTCATTTCATCTGGTTCTGCTTACTTTTAACTTGTGAAACAATAAGACACGAGAACTGCTGTGTGGCAGGACAGTGCTGCCTGGTGGGGAGGGTTCTGTTTGATGGTACCACAGCTTCTGTGATGCTCCCACCTGAATGGTGTCATTTTCCTTGTCCCCAGCGCCCTGCGGGGGCCACCTGACGTCGCCCAGTGGAACCATCCTGTCCCCTGGCTGGCCCGGCTTCTACAAGGACTCCTTGAGCTGTGCCTGGGTCATAGAGGCCCAGCCAGGCTACCCCATCAAGATCACGTTTGACAGGTGCTCACTCTGCCCTTCTCCCAGGTTTCCCATTTGCCTTCTTTCCCGGTGGTTCCTGCGGGATGGAGCTGCAGCCACCCCGGGGGAAATGGCAACGAGCTGCTCAGCACTGGGTTTGGTTTCCAGCTTCTCTTTGGCTCTTCTTTTCTTTCACTCACTCCTGACAAGACATTAAAATTTACCTCACGTTTGAGAAGAAAAGGCGGAAAATGATGCCTTTCCCTTTCTTGCTTTGACTAGCTCCTGCTAATTTGCAGTGCTGTTTTAGACACAGGTAGGACACGTTTGGGGAGGCTGAGCTGCCCCGTGCTCAGGCTGCTGGGGAGGACCTGGCTCTGCCTCAGCACTGCCAAGTCTCTTGCCTTGCCCTGGCTTTTGTTGCTGGAGGAGGGCCACGCAGCTCTGAACCCAGGTCTGGTTGAGACCACTCCTCTGGTCTTTGAAGTGGTTGTTCATGTAGCATGAGATACTTGCTGCTGCAAAGACCCACTCTGCCTCAGCAGGTAAAGCAGAAGGATCAGGAAGAATCCAGAACAGGAGGGGAACGAGGTGTTCTCAGTGAGATGCACAGGCAGTAGAAATGTACCCACCTGTTGCCTGTGGCCTGTGCTGCCTTCTGGCCATGAGAGCACGTTCAGGAGTGCAGTGAAGCCACCTGAGCCGTGCTGGTTTCTCACAGACACATTCTTCTGTCCCTTTCAGGTTTAAGACAGAGGTGAACTACGACACCCTGGAAGTGCGAGATGGCCGGTCCTATTCTTCCCCATTGATAGGGGTCTATGATGGGACTCAGGTGCCCCAGTTCCTCATCAGCACCAGCAACTACCTCTACCTCCTCTTCACCACTGACAAAAGCCACTCTGACATAGGCTTTCAGATCCGCTATGAAAGTAAGTGTGGTTCCTGCTGTCAGGACACGCTCTGCGGGCTCAGTCCCCGGCCCCTTGGACTCTCCTCTCCCCTCTGCCCCCAGTTAGCACCAGTATGGTGACTGGAGGGGGTGAACCTGCTGCAACTCAAGTAGCAGTTGCTGCTTTTTGGCTATTTTGGTTGTTTAGAATATTTTATTTTAACAGAATGTGGTTGAGGTTGGGAGGCAGAGTTGAGTCCCTCCCTCTGCTTCAGCCACTTGCTTTGGGGAGAATCAGTAGGACTTCGAGCTCTGAGGAGGAGCTGAGCCTTCCCCCAGGCTGGCCCCTGCCCTGTGCAGCAAGCTCTGCAGCCCCTGCGTGCTCTGACACCCCTGGGTTTGTTTGGCACAGCTGTGAAGCTTCAGTCAGACCATTGCCTGGACCCGGGGATCCCGGTGAACGGGCAGCGCCACGGCAACGATTTCTACGTGGGAGCTCTGGTCACCTTCAGCTGCGACTCAGGCTACACCCTGAGTGACAGTGAAGCCCTGGAGTGTGAGCCCAACTTCCAGTGGAGCCGGCCACTGCCCAGCTGTGAGGGTAAGGAGGGCAGAGGGAACACCTGCAGTTGCAAAGGAGCGATGGTGCAGCTCCCAGTGACATCTCTTTTGCTTGATTTTGATGGGTGGGGTTTTATTTTGACATTCAGAACTTGTATTCTTCCAGCTGCCTTGGGGTTATATCATTCTTTCTCCTTCCTTTTCTTGCAGCTCTGTGTGGAGGTTACATTCGTGGCTCCAGTGGTACCATCTTATCCCCAGGCTTCCCTGATTTTTATCCAAATAACTTGAACTGCACGTGGACAATAGAAGCATCACATGGAAAAGGTGAGAAACCTTTAGCTTAGAGTGGTTTTAGAGATGGGCTGGAGGATGGTGGTCAGTGAGAGGCAAGTGCTCCCTGAGTAAACCAAGAGCTTGTCTCTCACTAGTGATGGGTATGAGTGCTTGGCCAGTTACCATTCTTGCCACCACCCAAACATTGTCCCTTGTCAAGATTCAGAGGGTTTTTTGGTGTCACATCTCTTAATCCTTTTCAAGTGGAGAGGATTAAGAGGGAAAGATGGTCCCATATCAAGTCCCCAGATCTGAGAGGATGTGCCAAGTGTTATCCCTGGTTCTATCCCTTTGTGGCAGTGTCCTCTGGGAGGTTCAGCTGGTGGTTGGGTAGCTGGAATTGCTGCAGTGCCACACGGAGGAAGGGGGAGCTGCTGCTGATACCACTGCAGCCACGTTTGGTACCTTCAGCCTTATTTTTCTTTGCAGTGCTGGGTCACTATCTATTTAACACTGACAGGTGGAGAGGTGGAAGTGGGTAGTAAATCATTTCCAGATATGGGACAGGACTCAGGCTCCCAGGTCCCAGCTCTGCCCTAGTTCTGCAGCTCTCATTTCCTTGCCAGCACAGAGGCAAAGGGCAGGTCTGTTCAGCCCAGCCTCCCATGCAGCACAGGCCAATCTTTTGTCTTCGAGGAAATGTCTCATTGGTGATTAGGGAGCAAGTTTTATGTACGAGGGCGGGAGGCAATTTCTCCTGATCCAGTCAGGATCTGCCTGGGATAAGCACAAAGGGTATAAACCTTTCGTGTAACTTTATGCACTCCTCTATAACTGTCTCACACCAGATATCAGCACGACAGGAGCTATCATGAGCCCATTTTGCAAATACCATTTGTATTATAGCAAATAAAGTTGTCAATGAGCAGCAGAGTGCATTAAGGGAACCATCACATGCTGTGAAAAGCATTCTGTGGAGGAGCAGCAATCCACTCTTCATTAATCCCCTCTGCCTTGGCTGCAGCTCTCCAGCCAGGCACTGCATTATCCTGCAGCTAAGCACAACACAGCAAACTGACTCTCTTTGATATGAGAACGTGCAGCTCTGATGGCCTGTGTGCTTTTATGCCAACATCAGAAGGTCTTTTGGCAGGGCTCAAAAAAACACGGCTCATTTTCAGAGAGTGGAGGTTTGGGTAGACAATTTGAGGGGCTTTTTGTCCCTCTCTGTCCACCAGCCTCTTCCCTGCCAAGCCAGTGGCTGAGGAAGATCTGCATCATAAAAGCAGGTCTCAAGTTATTCACTCCCAGATCTTTATGAACATGTTGTACGTGGCCAGCACACAAGTCCCCTGATTGAAACAAGTTGGTTGTTACAGTAATTATTTTTATGTGACTGCAGACACCGATTTACTTTATGGATTCATGAGCTCTACAATTTGAGTTTAAAAGTAGCTTAATTTGAAAGGCATTTAAGTGCATAAAGAGAGACTATTATTTTTAATCTGAGAACTTCAAAGTTATTTCTTTTCCCTATAATTTGTTTTGTTGTTTCTTTGACATAGTATGGGGAAAAAAAAAACAACCACCTGCTTTTGCAGGGACATTTTGTGCCACAGTAAATTCCAGTGCAGAGCAGAGGTTCAATCAGGGTCACAAATCCCTTAAAATGAGTTTGTAATTAGTCCTTATGGCTACAGTCACAGAGCCCTTAACTGGCTCTGCTGCTGGGGGGGCCTCATGTGAGGTGATTGGAGTTGGGATCTTAGGAGACCTGGAGACAAGGGCTGTCCTCCCCACCCTGGGGCCTGTGCTGGGGTGTCTCTGGAGCTCTGCTGCTGTGGGGGGAGAGATGCTGTTCTGTTCCTTAGGCTGGGCTTTGTAAAGGCAAGGGTGTAAATTTCTTGCCAGTTGGTAAACAGGGCAAACTGAAGACGTTTTGTATTCACTGTGTTTCACCAAGTTTTCAGACCAAAACAGGTCAGATCTATTTTGAATTCACTGTGCTGCTGGTAAGAATAATAAGCATAGGGAACCTGTTAGATGTTTCCTGCCTTTTTGGAGTTCTGCAGGGGAAAGTAACATTTTTCTGTCAGGCTGCATATAGTATTCATCTGGGTGTAGGAAAGAAAATGTCAAAGTCAAGGCCCTTTTGGTCATGACACAAATACTGCTGCCTGGAACACTGAAGGATGCCAAGGTACAATGAGCTGCAAGGCTGGGACAAAGATGGGGAGAGAACAGGGCTGTTGAGATGTCCTGTGAATCCCACTGCTTCCAAATCCAAGGATTTCCATGGGAAAAGCTTTGTATTGGTTACCAACCTCTCTGTCCTTCAGTTCTTGGAAGGAAAGTGCTGACATGTGACCAGTAAACCTTCAAAAATAAATTGGATAGACAGAGATAAATGGAATATTCAGAATTATAATTTGATGCTGACAAAAAACTGTTGGGATGGATAGCAAATCTCATGCTCCAGAGCTTTAATCAGTCTCTAGACTGGTCTCATCCTGATCTCCAGAAATTAATGGGGAGTAAGGAGGAGGATATTCCTCTAATTCTGGGTTACAGATTTGCTGTGTTGCTTCTGGAGCAGCAGATGCTGCACTTTGGCAGGGATGGGATGCAGGGCAGGGCAGCTGGTGGGTCTCCCCAGGCTGGTGGTCTCTGTGCTGTTAATGACTGGCTCAAATGAGAGATCCTGGTCATGCCATGGGCACTCCTGGCGTGTGCCAGGAGGTCGGGCTCAAACTGTGACTAACGAGCACCAGATCCCAGCCCTGGTGTCTGCACAGAGGAGCCTGTTTCTCAGGGAACAGCTCAGGGAGGTGATGAGGAGTGATCAGGCAGTTCAGCTCAGGAGCCTGCCCCTGGGTGCTCCAAGGGTGCCAAGATCTTTGGATGAAAGAAGCTGCATTAATTCAAAGAGGCTTTTAGAATGGTTTTATTATTTTTTTGTTATGGCAGGCATTGCTTTTGCTTCCCGTGTGATGGTGATGTGACAGGGTTTCTGGTGCAAGGCCCTTTGCTCTCTGAAAGCTGTTACTGCCGTTTGTTGTTCTTTGCAGAAGGGATTATTTTCCTGAGAATAAGTGTTTCTAATTTGCCTTTGAATTCCAGCATGAAGAATCACCTAGCTGGAGGCTTTTGCAAAAGCCTGAAGTACTTGCTATTTTGTGTCTGTAGGTGTGAAAGATATTTTAAGTAATCCATTACTCCTTTCTTTTTCATTTACAAATGCAGCAAGGTCACAGCCTGCTCACCAAAATGTTTCAACTATTTGAAATTGAATTGGGAAGAAGAGACAGAACAGTTCTCCTGTGTTTGCCTGTTCTTTCTGTAGCTGGTTCTGTCACAGGTTTTATTTTTGTCAGTATCATATGAATAGAAGTGTAGGATTCTTTTTGCTTCTTTGAGCTGTTAGGGCTGGCAAGGCTTGGGCTACCCACCCTGTGGCTTCCCAGCCTGAGCCCTGGAGGGGACAGCAGGTCCTGGGTCATGAGCAGGGAAGGGACAGCAGAAACCCCCTCCCTGCAGGACCAAGGTGCTGGGGCTGCATGACATGGCCCTTGGGAAACACACATGAAGGGCTTGGGAGCCAGTTCCAGCTGAGGGAACCTGTGCCTGTCCCTGAGTGATCCCAACTGTTCTGGGGACCAACATTCCATCCTGGCGTGGGAGGGCAGAGGGAGCCCCTGCTGACACTTCACCTTCTTGAAAAGCCCCTCTGACCTTGATACTTAAGTAGCCTTAAGTCCTATTTTGCTAGGTATGAATTCTGTCTGGAACATATTTGTTTTTCTTGTCTCCAAGTCCTTACAGCTCTTGTAGCTCTTGTGATCCATCTGAAGGTCAATGCTTTTGAAATAAAACACTCCTCTGAGGTCCAGGCTCTGTCCTTCCTGCTGCTGATCCCTCCCTCAAGCGAGCTCCTCTTGTCCCCTTTCCCGTGTCACAAAAGCACAGGAATCAAAGATCTCAGCTGCCTCTCTCTGGTCTGGGCCTTGTACCATACACTTCTTTTACCTTTTCATCTGTTTCATTGCTAACATGGATGTGCCCAGGATTTCAGTGCTTTTCCTTCTCAGTTGGGTGGCTGTTCCCTGGGAAACAGGGAGTCAGTACCGGTGTGCTCTGAGGGAGAGGGGTGAGGGGCTGCCAGGCCAACACTCCTGCCTGAAACCATCTCTTTTTTGTCCTGTGCAGGTGTGTTCTTCACCTTTCATACCTTCCACTTGGAGAATGGCCACGACTACCTCCTCATCACGGAGAACAGCAGCTTTGCTCAGCCCCTGCAGCAGCTGACGGGCTCCCGGCTGCCGGCGCCGCTGAGCGCCGGGCTCTTCGGGAACTTCTCGGCTCAGATTCGCTTCATCTCAGACTTCTCCATGTCCTACGAGGGCTTCAACATCACCTTCTCAGGTAAGAACAGGCGTGGACAAAGAAGCTGCCAATGAGAAGGAGCGTGCGGGTGGTGCTGCTGGGGGAAGGCTCCAAGAGGGACCCGTTTGCCTGGGCAGGACGGATCGTCGCGCTTGTAAATAATCACTGATCTCTGGGTGACGTGTCAGGGTGTGTAGCTGTGTCCTTTAGCATGAAGCCCTGCTGAAGTGACTGCCCAAGTGTTTGCCTGGGCACACATTTCAGAAAATGTACTATTTACTGCCTGACTGCCCCAACAAGCCACTCTGTAAAACAATCAGTTAGCGGGCTGAAGTTTATCATCTTGGTCCTGTTCTTTCCTCTGTCTCATCACACCTTTTAGTCCTGAGGGCAACGGCTGCAAACTCAGCCTGCTGATGTGGAAGAGAAATAACCATCTTTATTGTGGAGCCTGGTGCTGATGTGCTCACTGCCTGTGACAGAGCTGTTGCCATAGATGCAGATAAAACCAGCTGCACGGAGAGGACAGGTTTCCAGTGCCTTTTTTCTGGCCTCTGAATTGGGGTTTGCCCACGATACTCTGCAGAAACTAGTCAGAAAGTTTCCAGCTAACTTCCATTTTGATGACTTTTTTGCCTTAAAATAGAATTACCTCTAATGATAACTGTTATTTTCAATGTATTTGGAGATTTCTTTCCTATCTTGGAAGACGAAAATGAGAGTTAGTTACATTTTTAGCTTCCTTTAGCTAAATATATGTACTTTGCAGGTATGTTATTATTTTTAAAAATAACCCCCAAAAGTGTTCTACTTCAGAGTGTTGTGTGGTTGAAGACAGACCTGCACTTGGCTATTAGCCACAATGCTACATGACCTTTCCTTTAACAGCAGCTTAAATGTCCTCTGGCATTCCCCAAGCAGGATGCTGTGTTCATTCATTTGCAGGATTAGTAATGTAGAGGCAGCAGAAATCCCACCTGGATCAATTTATCTTCATTGGACTAAACCAGAGGGAGAATGAAAAATCTCCATCATGTTTTGTCACCAGTGATGTCACCTTGATTGTCTGACAACGGTGACAGGAAATGAGACCTGTTGTATTTTGAGTTGGTTTAAATCAAGGTCCTGGTGTCACCCCGGAGGCTGCATGTTGAGAGTGAAAGCCAGGCTGGTGTTCATGGCTCCAATGGGATGTATGTCTTGTGTGGATGCTCCTTCTGCAGAGCTTCCCTGCAGCTGGACCAAAACCTGGAGCTGCCTCCTCATCCTCGCGTTCAGGGGTGGGATCCCGGGAGAAGAGGGAATAAGGTGTCACCCTGCTGTTCTGTCCATTTGTCCCCTGTAGAATATGATTTGGAGCCCTGTGATGAGCCGGAGGTCCCAGCCTACAGCATCAGGAAGGGGCTGCAGTTCGGGGTGGGAGATGTTCTCACCTTCTCCTGCTTCCCGGGGTACCGGCTGGAGGGCGCGTCCCGCATCACCTGCCTCGGGGGGCGGCGCCGTGTGTGGAGTTCCCCTCTGCCAAGGTGTGTTGGTAGGTGGTCATGTGCTTTCATTTTGCTTGGTTGGTTACCCTGTGCTGGATGGTGTTGGTGGGCAGGGGTGGGTGCCACCCCCAGGACAGCCCCTGTGGGCTGGCAGGGCGGTTGGAGCAGGGATGGGGCTGCGGGGGCTGGAGGGACCTTGTGGGTTGGACTCGATGATCTTCAGAGGTCCCTTCCAACCCCTAATCTTCTGTGATCCTGTGACCTGGCAGCCCTGCAGTGTGTGTGGGGACAGGAGGGGCAGGCAGAGGGCTGCTCTCCCCTCCCCAGCTGGAGCAGGGTGGGTGACACGTGCTGGGGGAAGCCCCGTGTCCCTGCAGCTCCTCCATGGGGACTGTACAAGGGAATGAACCATGGGCCGTGGGGAACCTGCCATCCCTCTGGGGGAGTTCCAGTAAAATACCAGTGTGGGTGTGAGCCATCCTCCCTGTGAACTGGACGGGTGCAGAGCTTCATGGTCCAGGTGTCTGGAAGCTGCTGCTGGGTGGGGGGATCTCAAGCAGTGCAGGTTGCACGTTTGTCTGGGAAACTCCCTCTGGCCTTTACCTTTCCTTTACCCTCCAGGGGTTCCTTGCACCTTAAACCTTTCCCTTCACCTCCTGCTAAACTACTGCAAGTCCTTTTTGCAACCTCTCCAGCCACTGTTTACACTGATGAATAAAGCTAAGGGTAGAGGAGAGGAAGAATTCCTCTGCAGCACTGGGCTGGTCTCTGGCTGTTGTCCCTGATGCTACAGACGCTCTTGTCTGGAGGGGTCTGCACAGCACCCCCTGCCCAGCCCCCAGCACCCTCCCAGTGTGAAGAACAGAAGAGGCTACAGCAGGCAGGAAGGAAGCAGGATCCTTCAGGCCTGTGCAAGAAAGATTGAGTGTATTTTTTATTGTACAATTTAGTAAGCAGGAAACTATTGAGGGCTCTGCTGCTGCCTGGGATGTGCCCAGGGCCATGAGGGATTCACATGGGGCAGAACAGATCTCTTCCCTGTGTTCACCCTGGCAGAGGCCACTAGGAAGAGC